TTTTTCATATTAAAGGAAAAAGGACAATGCTTTGATCAGCAAAAAAATCTGTACTACAAGGAATGCTAAAAGTTCTTCAGACCAAAAGGAAATCCTAGGTGGAAACTTGGATCTTCAGGAAGAAATGTAAATGAAAGGGTAAAAACAAAACATGAATCTAGCCTTTAAAAATATCTGTATCTATAAAAGAATATATAAAATAAAATCAGAATGTGTTATGGTGCTTCTAATAATAAAAGTCGGAGGTGCTGTTAAAAAAAAAATCAGAACTATAGAGTAGGTTAAATTTTTTCTTTGAACTAAATATGGGCTAGGAAATAAAGAGAAAGAACCCAAATTTTTTCATGTTTATGACTTCTAAAGTGATAAAGCTTTGTACACACATGTTTATCATTTGTTTCTTAATATTTTTGCATTTCACTTTAAATTCTGAACTTAAATTCTATGTTAATCTCTCTGATTCTTGGAAAATTAGTTTTGAATTGATAGAGCTTCCCAGTTAAAACTGTATAACCAAATATATTATACAGGCATGATATTTATACACAAATTATATTGTTTACATTATTTACTCTGCTAACTCTGAATCATTTCAGAATATGATGTATTTTAACATGCAATATAGTGTTGCTTGTAAAATAATGAGCAAGGCACAGAAGGGAAATTAAGCTCTCTTGAAGAGATTACTAACAAGACCATTTATACATCCATCCTGACAAAATAGAGGCTCATCTCAATAGCAGTGGGCATTTCTTTTGTGAGCACAATTATAAACATGCACAATAAAAACAGTATCAATTTTTATATGACTATTGGTAGGAGGGGAAGAGGGTTATCCTATCATGTTAGCAATTTTCTGTAGAATCACATTAGAGTTTCATTGTGGTGTTCATATCATGTGAAAATCTGGGTGGGATTTTTTGTTGTTTTTTTTTTTGCTAAATGGTTTCATTGTGTATTTAGTGAATCTGATATGGAAAATTGCTAATGCAATAAGAGCATCAGATAAGCTTTCCTGACTGTAATGCTTAGCTACAATAATCAGGAAAAGGCAGTGTGACTGGGCTGAGGATTTTCAGGGCTCCCTCTCCATAGTCCTGGACAAGACCTCAGCTTAAGTTCAACATTGACTTCTTGAAAGATGGACTTTAAAGACCTATTGCATGGAGAAAACTCCATTACAGATTTTATTTTGGAAGATACCATGTGTTCAGTAAAAGATATGTCATTTAATTAATATTTATTGACCGAGCACCATGCAAGTTAGCATTAAGGGAATGAAAATGATATGAAACATGGTCCCTTCCTTCACAGATCTTGAAAAGACTGTCGGAGGAGAGGAAATAAACTAGCACATGAATAACTTAATATAAGAGAAGATGTGGCAAGAGTGGAAAATGGAGGGCCTCCCTGGTGGCGCAGCGGTTGAGTGCTGGGCTGCGAAGCTGCCCTCAGCCTCTGCAGCACTGGTTCAATCCCCGGCCGCCCGGTGAGGGCCCCACATGGTACAGAGACCTCTCCTGCTGTGCCCGCTACTCCCCTCAGCAGTGTAATTCGTCAGTCTGCCTGTTCTGCTCCCGCTCTGGCTCTCACCCTCCTGCGCTTCTGACTGTACCCAGTGCTTATAAAATAAATCTTTAAAAAAAAAAAAGTGGAAAATGGAAAGAGCCCCAGGAGATCAAAGAGTACATACCTGGGATCAGAGTCATAAGAGAAAATTCTGTGACTGGCAGCACCTGGACAGGGCCACAAAAGATGAGGAAGATGCTAACTAAGCATGAGGATCTGGTAAGAGGCGGGATAGCAGGAGAAGGAATTCTAGGCCTTAGCATGAGTAAAGGTGCAGAGAAGAGAAAAGTCAAGGAATACATGGGAATTACAAATCATTATTTTAATTGCAACATAATATATGAAAGGAGCGAGAAGATAAACCTGGAAAAGTTGTCTAGGAGTAGTCCAAGGCTGACACCAAAGGAAAAGAGTGCATGGTGTTCAGGATAGCTCGGGATGGAAATGTCAGATGCAGTTTACCCATAGGATTAACATCCAGCTTTCAAGGATATGATGGCTTCTAATGCTAACAACTCTCTTGAAATCTTAACAACTTTAGTTAGCACACGTTTCTTAAGAGACATATTTTTATAGGAATATTTATTTTAAAAGGTTAGTTTATTGCCAAGGGATATTTGTTTACTTTTTTATGTCTCTACTCATGGTGTGGATAGTCACTAGATTAACTGAAAAATTTTCACTGAAGTATACATACTGCTGTAGCTACTTGTGAATAGACTGAGGGTTGTTTTTTGTTTTGTTTTGTTTTTTCTTTAGAATAACTTTTTGTTTTTTCACCTCACTGGCAACAGTAATGAAGGAAATATAAATCTAACAGCCTAACATTACAATTTGAAGAGATTCATGCTTTCAAAGTGTTGTTATATTTACTATTTTATTCTGCATTTGTCGCTGGTTCTGAATAGTTCTCTAAATGTTAGAAGCAAAACACAGAAAACATGCACTAAATTTCAGTAGAGATTTAACACTGAATGTAATGTTTTGCAAATTTTAAAAAAAATTATTCATTTCTCATAACCTTTACGTCTCTTAAATCAGAATATTGAAGCAGAAAGATGAATTTCTGCTTTATTTATTGCAGAGGAAATGTCAGATATAAACTAGTTAGTTGTCTAAGTGCTATAGTGACCACTTACCAAACACCCTACCTCCAATTTGGCAAAGGAAATTACATTTTCATTAATCAGAGTTAAATTATTTATAAAACTGAAATTGAAAATTTTTATATTTAGGAAATAATTTCTTGACTGATATTTTTTCTCTTCCAACTGACCACACAATTAGAAAGTATCAGTTGTTTATTACTTGCAGTTATCCTTAGCAATGCTTCATTTAGAAACAAAAACAAAAACAAAAAATTCTTCTTTCTCATTCCATGTTTTGGGCAATCAGAAATGCAGTAGTTGCTATGTGTGTGTAGTTTCTGATTGAGTGGGGGTATGCACATAAAAGAGAAAGATCTGTAAGAGGAGAAAAGTCAAATTGTGCTGACTTTAAAAAGTTGATGACAAAGATAGGAGAATTGTACAGTACTAAGGTGTTTAACTGAAAATTCACTTAGATCTTTGGTTTTAATAAACACTGCACTGATAGAAATGGGTTTACTCAGATCAGGAATATGCTGGCATTCTCTTAAACATAGCTTGAAACCACAGAGCTCAAGCATAAAACAACTCTGACAAAGATATCCAGTCAAGCATAAAAATGGGAGTTGTTTGTGTCAGAATAGATTAAGAGGCCAAAGGCAGTCTGCTAAAGACAGCTGTCTTGCCATAGATGAAGACTATTACAATGAAAGCTATTTTTTCTGATATATTATTTGAAACTTCTATCATATTTAAATCACACCTTATTTATAAACTATTACATCATTTTCTTATCTGTAATGTCCTCCATGGATAACCACAAACTTGAAAATGGTCCAAAATCTTGATCATGGCTTCCTACAAACATGGGGGGAACACACTTATTGAATTGTCTATTTGGGGTTAGGAGAATGCATTTGGGTTTTACTTTTACTTCCTTTTTAAATATAGATGACTATTTTTAAATGTAAACATCCAATGGCATTTCCTCACAATGACAGGAATCCTAAGGCAGAAAATAGTCTTGTAGTTCTTTCACTCATCCAGAAAGATGCCCCAAATGTTCTCCTCAACTGTGGCCAAGGAAATAGCGTTATTAAATGCCTTATAACTTGACAGTTATCCTCTATTCTTCCTGTTAAGTAACACTTCCAAAGGGTCATCTAAGAAATCTGGCAAGCCACTGAAATGGTACTTGCAAATTAGATCCATTAAAAGCAACCCATGGAGTGCTGTGGGTGTGTATCCAACTGTGAATTACTGGGTGAAGAATTTAGATACAATTTTATTCCAAAACTAGATGTACATCATTGGTAGGTTCCTTAAGAGTACCAATTCCAGCCCAGAAACACATCAACACTCAACGGAGTATTCCTAAACTATCATTTCAAATTTCCACTGTCAAGGGTGGGAGGAGGAAGGAATAGTAACGGGAAGACTTGTCAGCGATTAGCCATCCATAAAAATGTTTTCCCTGCGCTCCTCCTTCTGATCACAATGCTGGCGTCAGTTAGTCTCCTGTATCTGTTCCCCACCTCGCCCCCCCTCCCGTCTGCGGAGAGCTGGCACTGAATAGCAGGCTAAGGAAAAGACAAACATCAGCTCCCAGCACAATCCAAGTGCTAGCCCACAGACACTTGAACAACATTCCTAACTTTTTTCTTTTTGCTCACTTCGCTTGCCCTGTCAAAGGTAAGCAGAATAAAAAGCCTATGAAGCAGAAGGCCAGGAGGCCAGCAGTCACAATGACCACCCCATCCCTGCACCCTGATTTCTCCACTGCTCAACTCCCTCCCCCCGAGCCACAGCAAACGGTTACTCAGATGCTCTGAATCTGGGTCTACAAGGCTCCTGTCCATGTAGCTCAGCCCCCTTGTGGTGCCCATGCCCCCGGGCGGGCAGCGAGCACGCATCTGCTCGAGTCCTGGCCACAGCCCCGCACGCCCGGGGGCCACGCCACGGGACAAGCCTCTTCTGACAGGTCCCAGGTGCCAATGGGCCAGGCGGCTGAGCCGTGCAGGAGACACGCAACCAACTTCCCCGGAGCTGTTCCCTCCCGCCACTCGCCCACGCCACCCCACCCAAGACTGGCTCCACCAACAAATTCAGGGATGGAGAGTACAAAGAGCCAAGCCAGAGCCTGAGAGACTTCCCGTGTAGGAGAAAAACTTGGCCGCACTTGCGCTCACACACGCAAATGCCCAGCGTGCGCCTGGGAGGGCATCTCTTACCTGTCCCACGATGCCACCCATCCCGCCCCCCAGCCTAGGTCGGCAGCCCCGCACTCCCCTCCCACCCCCGCAGCGGGCTCCAGGCCGCCCGCTCCCAGGGCTGTGCACTCACTGCCTGGCTGCGCGAGCCCAGTAGCTGCAGGGCCAGCGGCGGCGGTGGCGCAGCGGCGCGGCGGGACCGAGACAGCGGCTGCAGCGGCGGCCCCAGCGGCGTCAGTCAGACTGGAGCCGTGAAGCCTCAGCGCCCGTATTAGTGCGCGGGCCTGGAAAGCGGCCAGGAGCCCAGCCCTCGGGCCCGCCCCCGCCCGCCTCCGTGCGCCCTGGCTGGCGAGGAGGGGGAGCGGGGCCCGCCCCGGGCCACGTGCGCGGAAACTTGCCGCAGGGGCACCCAGAAGTGGCGGGGCATGCGGGAGCCCCAGGGCCTTGGGTGGCGGTCAGCTTTTTTCCACTAGACCCCAGGCTGACCCTTGTCCGCCATCAGCCCCCACTGGGCGCTGTAGTTGGGGGGCTTTGGGCAGTGTGGGTCACCTTGCACCTCTTCCTCCCCCCTCCACCTTGAGGCTTTGCCTCCTCCTGGAGCCTGAGATCCAAGGAGGGTTTTCGGCAGAAAGAGATACAGGATCAACAAATCTGTTGGGACCACCTCATCCCACCCCAAGCGGCTCTTTCTGAACCCTGATAGTTATTATTTCTTACCATTGTCTGCATTTTAGAATAAAAGGGTGTCAGTACACCCATGGACAGTGCCAGGGCAACTGATTGCACTGAATTAGGAAGAAGAAAATCTAATCACTCTGAGGGTGAGTGGTAGTTAAAACTTGTCATGTAATTATATAAATTGACGTTTTCTTACACGTATTTATTTGCCTAACAGCGTAGTGTGTAGCATATGACATTATCTAATCTAATAATACCGATATAACAGTATACACACTGAGGAACGTTAATGTACAACCTTGTTACCTCAAGGATCGGATCACCCCTAGGTAGCCTGCCTTTTGAGGTCGCTGTGGACTCTTAGAACCCACTCAGAATACCTCAGGAAATGCCACCCTTTGATTCCCCATTAACCAGTAGCTCTCCTTGGAAAAGGCATTTACATCAAAAGCAAAAGTAGAATAAAGTCACTCTGGGCAGTATTTAACTTGCTCCTTATAACAGAAAAATAAGTTCTTTCAAAGACCCCAATCCCTAAAATTTAAGTGCAAGGCCTTGAATTTAGCTGCTTTTTCTAGTTCTCCAAGCACTGCCTTTTCTTCTCTTGGCAGATGTCATTTTTTGCATTATCATACTGGTATAGTTGAGCAAAGCCCTTGCTTGAAACGGCATTTGTACAAAGCAGAACAATAAACCCAAACTTAAATCATCTTTCCTACACCTGGGCCATTTACCTCTGTTCTAGACTAGGTGTTAAGTTTGAGATAACTCTGAGTGTGTAAAGCCATGAAATATTTGGACTTATGCTGCAGATTGCAATTGATGTGTATTTAACTTCAGATAAAGGGATTAGGTCCTCAGAACTGATACTTTGAGGCTCACTTTTATAGAAAAAAAATGTTACTTAGAAAAGAAGTGGTCAATGACTATCTCAACTTCCTCCTCTTATGTGCATTATGCAATGCAAAGGACAAGTAAAGAAGATAGAAATTATAACCTCTGCAGTGCTGGTTCATGCGTCTGGCATGGCTTCCTTAAGTTCAGAAAATTTTCTTGGCTCTTGGCAGGACTTTATTTGCAGATTCTTTTACTCTGTAGTCTCTGCTTTTTCTGTACAATCTCATTTACATACCAATAAATTTCAGCACCTAAAAGTTAGCCTGTCACATGAACAATGCCTGTCATTTGTTCCTCAAACCTGTTATAGAAAGTTAATCCCTTCTACCCCAAAATAAAAGATCTGGTGAGTTCCAAGGAGAAAATGCCTGTCCTGGGAAAGAAGACTTAGTATTGACACTGTTTTCAGAAAGTGACTATCCGTGTAATAGGAAATTCCAACTTTTTTCTTTATTTTTCCTTTTAATATCTTGAGTAGCTGTATTTTTACTGCTTGTTAGAATTTCCACCAAAGAAACTACATAAATGGAGTCATGTGAAAGGTGAGGCTCAGTCCCAGATTTTGATTGGAATTTCACCAGATAAAGGTGATATCTTAAAAACCATGGTGAAACCAGGAGAACATGAACTCCTGCAGCCAATATTAACAGCAGTGGGGAGGGCAGTTGCTTTACCCACAGGGGGGCCAGTTCTTTTCTCATTTGCCCATCACAGGACAAGATCATAACAAAGTCTATAGCACTCCATTGATGTAAAGATTCTGCTTTGTACATCTTTTGTGCCTTATATTTGACCTAGCATTATAATGGTTCTACTCAGAACCGTAACAAGGAATTGTTGCCTACATACCCCACCAGACTTGTTCCTACATTTCATCTGCATTTCTGTTCTAGCTCTTCACTTGTTCTTGCCTCCTGCCTGAAACTTCCTTCAAGAGCCATCTTTCATTCAAGATCCTTCTTTAATTCAAAACCCTTTATGGAAAACTTGTCTGAGTAGCAGGGGCCTGGACTCACTATGTAGACACAGAGCATTCTCTCAGTAAACTCAGTGTCATTAAGAGACACATATACACCTAGCATACTCATGTAACTTTCAGTATCAGGGTATGAGCACAGGGGAGATGTCAGGGAGACCTCTACAGAGGTGAAGTTTCAGCTGCACCTTGAAAGTCTACTACCCTGACAGCTAGAAATCCCCTCTCGGCTTCCACAGCCTCGATGGATGGTTCTTTGAGGGTCCTGGCCTGGAGGCAGAATGCAGGCTGCACAGTAGCCTCTTGGCCAAGCAATCAATGCAAGCACAACTTGCACAGTCATAAAGGCAACCCATAATGCCTATTATGCAGAATTCCTTGAGGATTTGAGTATGAACATCTCAGTTTTTCTAGAAAACAGTCAAACTAGTTGGATTAAGAAAAATGATGTTACCAGGTAGAACATCACAGAATAAATGCTCTAGAATTGAGACAAGAGAGCCATGGAGTATCCTGGTTAGTAGTGAAGAGCGACAGCTGTCTCCTATTGTGAGAGTCCCCTGGCTTGGATCAGCTAGTCTTTTACATGCATCATCTCATTTCACCCTCAGGATATCTCAGGGGGTAAGAATTAGTATACCCATGTTACAGTTGAGGACCCTGAGGTATAGCAAAATGTGCCCAAGTGTCTGACTTAAAATTCAAACTCCAATTGACCTGACTCCAAAGCCTAGATATTTAACCATAGCACCTCACTCTCTTCCCAGAACTTGAGGTAGAATTGAAGTGTTTGAGAATATGACATTTAAGAACTAGCTACAAAGTGGAAACTTATGGGTGAGTAAAGCTTGTGAGTGGGGTGGGGGGTGGGTGGGAGAGGGCAGAGTTGGGGTGCAGGAGATGGCAGGGGGCGCAAATTAGGAAATCATTGCAACCATCTAGGTATGCAAGGATGAGTATCTGCAAGAGGCTGGCATCTGTGGAATCTAGAAAAGGTGGGAGGGGTATATTTTATGGATACTTTTAACTTGAGAGAAAATGTAGGAAGCAAGATCCAAGAATGGATAAAATGGCATCTTTGGAAGAAATATGTATATACATGATGGAAACTGCTTTGAAGGAAAGATAAGATAGGATCATTCTCATCAACCATTGCAAAAATCTGTGTATTTGCTGTTTTTTTCCCCTTACAGCAGTATCATTACATGACATTTCATAATCTGTTTGCTTTAACCGATTCTCTGTAAGAATGCTAAATCCTGACTGCCTGGAACAATGCCTGGCATGTTCCAATAAATATTTGTTCCCAATAAATATTTGTTGAATGAATGAAATGTTTAGTACGTGTTTAAAAATATCAGGAATGTGATTAGAAGAGTGATGTAGATTTGGAATTTACCTGTGAAGTTATAGCAGCAGCTGGGAGAATAAATGAATTCTGTAATGAAGAAATTACAGAGAATGAACAGAACAGGAGCTCGCACTTATTAAGGCAGTTTTAGGGAAAAGTGGAATATTACAGAAAGACAAAAGAATGGTCCCAGAGGTGGAATGATAACTGAGTTCTGTTGCTAAATTTCCTCTCCTTTATACTCCTACCATTCCTCATGACTTCTTTACCTTACTCTGTAACCTGGTTTGCAGGATGAGGCTAAAACTGTCAAAGCATGAGGTTGACCAGGTTGAGGTAGAGTGAGGAAGGGTGGGTGACTTGGATACATCTCTTCCCCGGTCAGAGCTGTCATGTGAGAATGGGAACATTGTTTAAAGGGGTATTCAGAACTTCATGGAAAAATCATATAATTTAAAATTTCTTCTAACCCATTTATTTTTCAAGCTACAAGCAAAGAAAACATTTATGATCCAAATCTGACAAGAAAGTTGCAACCTCTGAGCTTTGTCCTCTCTCTGGTCCATTTCACTCTTTTTCTCTCTAAGAGAAAAACAGTAGCTAAGGTAATTACTTCAATCAAGTTAGCCCTACTTAGCATGGGGGGAAAACTTTTCTCCGAATTCATACAATATTTGTCCTTTCCTCCAGTGTCAGACTTCGCAATGTTTGGTTATTATCTGTCCCTCCACCTTACTCTCCTTCTCTTCTTAATTTCCCCAAATCCGACTTCTGCCATCTATTGCTACTGTTTGATTTTAGTGTTTTCCAACATTCTTAGTGATCACCAGTGACCTTTCAGCTAATTGTCCAGCAAGTTTTCTTGATCCTCATTTAAAAAATAATTTGAAGTACAACTTTATTATTTCAGTGAAATTCAGATTAATGTTTGAATTAATCAAATTCATTCATTCATTCATTCAAATTGTTGCTTGGTAACACTATTTGAGAACCATTTTAGGGAGTAGATGAGACCGACTTTAAAAATCATCTTTACCATTTGTAAGTGTTCAATAATACTAAGTATATTCATATGGATGGACAACAGATTTCTAGAAATTTTTCATTTTACAAAATTGAAACTACATATCCATTAAACACTAATTCCTCTTTATTCTTCTCCACCACCACCCCCCACCTGTAGCAACCACTTTTCCACTTTCCCATTTCTATGATTTTCATTAATTTAGATATTTCATATGGGCAGTCTCATACTGTATTTGTCTTTCTGTGACTGGC